TTTTTTTTTTTTTAGATTTATTTATTTATTTGAAAGGCATAGTAACAAAGAGGCAGAGGCAAAGAGATCTTCCATCTGTTGGTTCACTCCCCAAGTGGCCAGAGCTGAGTGGGCCAAAGTCAGGAGCCAGGAGCATCTTTGGGGTTTCCCACATGGGTGCAGGGGCCCAAGCATTGGGACCATCTTCTACTGCTTTCCCAGGCCATAGAAGATAGCAGGATCGGAAATGGAGCAGCCGGGACCCAAACTGGCACTCATATGGGATGTGGGCACTGCAGTCAGCGGCCCCAAGTTATTTGTCTTTAAAACCTATAATGTATGAACAGATCTCTATGTATTTTATACCCTAAATGAAGTTTAACATCTTTAGCTATGTGTAGCTTGATCCTCTTGATATTAAAGTGCCTTTTCAAGTTAACTTTGGTGTTTCACCAAACTGATTATAAGGAGCTGCATTAGTCAGCTTGGGCTGCTACAACAATTAAAAAAAAAAAAAGAACATGTTCTTTGATTTTTTTCCTCATGTTTCTATAAAATGAGTAGTCCAGGACCAGGGTGTCAGTATGGGGGCATTCATGTGAAGGCTGTCTTCCTGGCTTTCAGATGCCATTTCCTTGCTGTCTTCACTTGCCGCAGAGACAAAGTTAAGCAAAACCATTGGTTGTCGCTCTTAAAAGGACATCAATTATATCATGACAGCCCCATCTGAAGGTCATCATCTAAATACAACTGCTTCTCAAGGGCTTATTTCCAAATACCATTACATTGTGTAGGTAAAGATTCATATATTTGAACTGGGGGAGAACATAATTCAGTCCATAACATTTTATCCTAGGCCCTCCAAAGTTATTGTACTTGAATGCAAAATCTATTCACTTCACAACAACAGCACCAGAAGTCTTAATGTGTTCCAGCATCAAGTCAAAGGCTAAAAACCAATTTTGCCTCTAAATACCTTTAGTTAAAATCCCCCTATAGATTCCAATTCAATCCCATCAAGGTGGCATGTACCAATGCCATCACACTAGTCAAAGTGATCAATTTCAGTTCATAATTGATCATAATGATAGATCTAAGAGTCAAAGGGATCACGTAAACAAGACTAATGTCTGCTAATACTAACTGATAGAATTAAAAAGGGAGAGAACAATCCAACATGGGAAGCAGGATACACAGCAGACTCATAGAATGGCAAATGTCCTAAACAGTACTCTGGCCTCATAATCAGCCCTTAAGGCATTTGGATCTGGCTGAAGAGCCCATTAGAGTATTTCAGGCATGGAAAGCCAAGACACTCTGACAAAACAAACAAACAAACAAACAACCCTAAATGAAAGATCTCTGCGAGTGAAATCCAGTGGAAAGAATGGGCCATCAAAGAAGGAGGTACCTTTCTCTGAAGGGGGGAGAGAACTTCCACTTTGACTATGACCCTGTTGGAATAAGATCGAAGTCAGCGAACTCAAAAGGCTTCCATAGCCTTGGTAACTCATGACAAGAGCCTAGAGTGATTACTGATGCCATAAACAAGAGTGTCAATTTGTTAAGTCAACAACAGGAGTCACTATGCACTTACTCCTCATGTAGGATCTCTGTCCTTAATGTGTTGTCCAATGTGAACTAATGCTATAACTAGTACTCAAACAGTATTTTACACTTTGTGTTTCTGTGTGGGTGCAAACTGTTGAAATCTTTACTTAATAAATACTAAATTGATCTTCTGTATATAAAGATAATTGAAAATGAATCTTTATGCGAATGGAATGGGAGAGGGAGCGGGAGTTGGGAGGGTTGTGGGTGGGAGGGAAGTTATGGGGGGAAAAAGCCATTGTAATCCATAAACTGTACTTTGGAAATTTATATTTATTATATAAAAGTTTAAAAAAATCCCCCTATAACTATACACTGATGATACATTATGTGTTTTCAAAATATGACGGTGAAACATGATTAGAACAGGCAATCTCATTTCAAAAGCAAGAAATATGAAAGAATAAAGGGATAATGAATTCGCCAAACAGTGCAAAATAAACTCTAGCACACCATCTTATGACAACTCCTGTTGTCCTGCTCTGCTTCATGCTCTACCCTCTTAATCTGCAAGGGTGGTGGTCCTGGTCCTGGTTTCAGGACCAAGGTAGGTTGAGTATGTGCTCTTGTGGCAGTGCCAATGGGAGTCATGCTCTGGTGGCTCTGCCAAACCTGCATCGAAATAACATAGATTTACAATGGAAACATTCATATCTTGTGTTTCTTGAAGACTGGCAGGGAAAACAGGTCACAGTAGATGTAGTTCCTAGTGACAGACCTCCTCCAAGATTGCAAATATTTGGCTCTGTTTCCTCATATGAAAGTGGCTTCTGGTCTTTTCATATACTTATAAAAGTATCAATTCCATAAGGAAGCTCCATCCTTATGAATTCATCAAACCCCAGCCACTCTTGAAAGTCCCGAACTCCAAATAGTCAGACACTGAGCATTAGAGCTTTCAACATAGAAATTTGCAAGAGGACATCAATACTTAGTCTATATCATTCTCACTGCTTTCACAGTAAGAAAAAATTGAAATAACACCAATAATTACAGTGTGAATAATGGGATGTGGCACTTAGTAATCACTTTAACAATACCCAGAATATAAAATTACTCATATAATGGGAAGTTTGTAAAAGAAACAAAAAGACTTATTAACTATGTATATAGAGGAACATATATATCTTAAGGAAACTAAAAAGTAGTCACTAATCACATCACATGCTAAAAGTTTTTGATTTGATGAAACAAAATTTAGTCTTGAGTATTGTTATCAAAAGAGTATTTCCTGTATATTCCTGTTTTTATTAACAGTATCTAATATAGCCATGGATCCCACTCCAAAAATGCACTTTTGAAATCATACTTTTCAAAACCCAAGAGTAGTACACTTCCAAAACATTTTATACAGCTTTCAAAATACCCAATATCAAATCTATATATAATTAATCTGAAAGAAATAGCATTTCCGAATAGTTTTGTGTTCCTTCATATTAGAACACTCTTATACATGTAAATACTATGTACCACAAGTGTTTTAAGATTTTGAAATCCATAGACACTTTAGCTTTTGTGCAAGTTCCAGGACATTCCTTTCACTTAAGATATTAGCCTAAATATTCCACATTTTTCATATTTCATTAATTTTAATATTATATATAATAAATGTATAGAAATCTTTTTACAAGAAGGTTGCAATTGCATTCAAAAAGTATCAACTACAGGCCGGCGCTGTGGCATAATGGGTAAAGCCGCCTCCTGCAGTGCCAGCATCCCATATCGGCGCTGGTTCAAGTCCTGACTGCTCCACTTCTAATCCAGCTCTCTGCTATGGCCTGGGAAAGCAGTAGAAGATGGCCCAAATCCTTGGGCCTCTGCACTTGCGTAGGAGACCCCGAAGAAGCTCCTGGCTCCTGGCTTCGGCGGCACAGCTCTGGCCATTGCCGCCAATTTGGGAGTGAACATGCAGATGGAAGACCTCTCTCTCTCTCTCTGCCTCTCCTTCTCTCTCTGTGTAACTCTATGTACCTCTGACTTTCAAATAAAGTAAACAGTTCTTAAAAAAAAGTATCAACTACAAAAATAATACTAAAATACAGATCAGAGTCTGAACTATATTCTAGACATATAGAAAGATTTCCACATTAGTATCTTTAATATTGCAGATAGGGCTGGTTTTGCGCTATAGTAGGTAAAGCTGCCCCTTGGGACACTGAAATGCCATATGGGTGCCAGTTCAATTCCTTGCTGATTTGTTTGCAATCCAGCTACCTACTATTGTGCCTGGTAAAGCAGTAGTGCACGGCTCAAGTGCTTGAGTCCTTGCACCCACGTGGGAGACCCAGAAGAAGCTCCTGGCTCCTGTTTCCTTTTTCCTGCTTTGGCCTGTCCCAGTCTTGGCTGTTGTGGCTGTTTGGGGAATGAATCAGCAGATGGAAGATTTCTCTCTGTCTTTCTGTCTCGGTCTCTGCCTCTCTGTCTCTCTCTCTGTCTCTCTCTCCATCTCTCTGTCTCTCTCTGTCACTCTGCCTTTCAAATAAATAATACTTTTTTTTTAAAAAAGAACTCAGATAATATTAGGATTCAAATTAAAAGTAACTTAGCAACTACCATGCATACACTGTGATTACTGCTGTGGTGCCTTCAGATTGCTTACATAGGAGAATCTCGAGTTGGAAATGGATGGTGGTAGGGAGCTAAAACGTGTATACTAGGGGCCCATGGATACACGTCCTAACTGTCAGATTTGTCTTTCCTGAATTCAACAGTTTCATGTAAAAATACCATGCTGCGATTTCAGACATTACCAAAGATTGGTGCCAAAGATGTAGCTCTTGCAATGGAAACATTACATAGGTTTGCAAGATTCCTTTGATCTCTAGCTAGGCAGAGATGAACCCTGGAAGAGCATGGAAGAAGTTACAGAAGACGGATATTACTAGGTCAAGCTATCGTAAGAGTAAGGGATCCAAATATCAAGGAGGGAAGATGATGTAACCATAGGAATAGCAGTGGTCACCCCTTTCTCTGAAGCATCACTTAGACTTCAGCACTATCTGCATTATCTACCCCTCTCCCCCAGCTCTGCAGCTTCCTTGGTGTAAAAGCTTATCACTGGTCCTGGCTCAAAATAACCAACAAAGTTGCCCCTGTGTCCTGTGGCAACCATTAACTAATGATAAGGTCATTATAATTAAATTCGATGATCCACATTCCCACTCACATCATTCAGTTGATGCCATGACACTTCTTAGATTTCAACAGATTTTGAGATCTTATATATTTTTCTTCTGCATTTATTTTATGAACACAATATACAATATTTTAAAATTTAATCAAACATTATATAGTTTTTTATTTCCCAGACTTACTATAGTCTACTTAAAATTATAAAGTCTGACATCTTTATCTCACTTTATAACAAAAGGAACTCAGAAGTGAAGAGTGAACCAATAGTGTCATCACACCTCATTTTGAAGTCAGCTGTTCAAAGGTTTAAGTAATTTTCTAAAAATAGTGAATGGCAATGAAAAGGAAAAATTAGAAATTTTGATTAGAAATCAAAAATGAACTAAATGGATGCGATCTCTTCAGTCCTGTTTTCTCCATTATTCCAAGGCTAATGCTCTAATAGAGTTAAATCAGAAAAAGAGAAAACACAGCAATGATTTTGAAGCCATAGGATAAAATTTAACGAATTCGGTAAATAGCTACTGAAGAACAAAACAAGTTTAGAAGGCACTGTACAACTAACCGGCTACTAAGTCAGAAGGACTAACTAAAAAATGATAATTTTATTCCTGGAGCTGAAAAACAAAGGAAAGAAGTTGGGGTTCCCTGAACCTAGAAGACTGTAAGAACTGACGCCTTGGATGAGGATGAGGAACTCAGGACTCCAGAGTAGGCACTAGAGATTTGGAACACTGGTAAAGAACTCAAAGGGGTTCAGAACTCAAAATAGAATGGGTCAGACAATTATGTTGGTATCTCTGGGTCTGATAATGATGTTGGTCTGCAGTGAATTAAGGGAGAAGGAGAGAGTTGATTAAAATCATGTATCACTTCCATTGTGAAACCTTCACCAAATAGTTGTATAAAAAGGAAGAAAACATAACCCAACTTTCTAATTTCTTGCTCATTCTCTTGACTATGGTACCTGTTGGGAGAGGACTGATACAGTAGGAAACGTGGTGCTATGGAGCAAACTACGCTAAAAAGCAGCAACAGAAAAAAGGTACATCACTCACATGCTACACTATTTTCTAAGAAATATAAAGAGGAAAATTTCAGAAAAATAAAACTTCAAATTATTTAAAACAAGGAATAGTAAGGAGAAACATGATAAGAATTAATTTTTTAATGGACACTCTTTTTAAGTACAGACTTTGGGACTTTTACTGATTCACCTGAGCTCCCAGGTAGAATCGGGGAATGCAACACAGGAGGTACACTCACATCCTCAGAGTTATTCTTGTCTGGAAGTACAATGTGAACTCTTTTCTTTCTTTTTCTTTTTGAGCAAAAAATAATTATACAACCAAAGCAAGCAATCAAAAGGACAAACAACACCAGGCCCGCATTAAAAACCTTCATCTTGTGTCTCCTTGGGGCTGGGCCACTGTCAATACTACCTCCATATCCTTTTATCAGGCAGTTGGGTGGATCCCACGAATAGTTGCAATGGCAGTGATGTTTATTGTTGCAGATGCCCCTCTCATTACAGAATGCAGGTGAGCAATTACTATCCAGGATGGATATGTGGACACACTGCCTGTGGACACAGAGATGCTCTGGACCACACTCTGTGCCATCCTTCACTTCACCGATATCAGGTGTATTCATTCCATAATGATAGTCAGTACTCCAGCAGGTTACTTCATTGAAGTGAGTCCAATGCACAGTAGTATGATCACTCAACTGTGGAATTTCTTGCACATTATCGCACTGAACTCTTCCACACAGGATGTCTGGGATATCGCATTTTTTATATGTAACACCCTTGATACCACAGTGACCAAAACGAGTACCTTGGGTGTTCACTTCTTCGTAGCAAATCCGATTTGCACTCTTTGCTTTCTTGCCAAAAATACGCCTACACTGTTCAGTGCGGTCACTACATCTTTTTTCATAGCAGAAAGATGTGTCACTACAAGGAATTCCATCTTCCACATACACATCCTCTGGACACTTATGAGACGTCCCACTGCACCACTCTGGAAGATCACACATATTGTCTTTCTTTCTACACACGGACCCTGATGGTAAGAATTTGCAGTTTTCACAACAAGGCCCAGAAGCACAAGCAGCCCCATTAATTAAAGTGCAGTTTGGCATACAACAGGGATCTTTTGCACAACGCTGTAAAGCTCCACAGTCACATTCCTCTTCTTCTTCAATAATGCCATTCCCACAGCGTGTGTTGTTGAAGATGTCCTTGGTGTAGTCCTGTTCCAGCAAACATGTTGTCCTTTCTACAGTGTACCACCAAAATCTATTAAAACTGCAATTGCTAAATTTTGTTGTTGGTGGGTTATCTGCATGCATTATGCATTTTGAGTTCCCACATACACATTGATCCTCATCATGGAACATGCCCAAATTATGACCTATGTGATGAGCCATGGCAATTCCACAAATTGTCAAGGTTCTGTTTAAGAAAGTAACAATTCCACAACTCTTATATGGTACACATATTCCTCCAGTTAACCCTAGGCCGCTTAATCCTTTTAAATTCTTGTTTATAAAAAGTAGTGACATATCATGTTTTATCCGGGGCAACACATTTGCATATTTCCAATTGCAAAAATACTGAAAAGATCTTCTTACATCATCTACTATAACCAAATTTTCATTATTCCAGATCTCCAGAGCAAACACCAGCATCTTAATGCCTAGCACATCATAAATGGAATCTGCTACATTTGTAACCACATATAGATCATCCAGCAACATTGAGTCATTGTTTTCATAATGAGTATATAGAGAATTATCTATCACCAATACAATTTCAATTGTCCTAAAGTGGACCCACCAGCCCACATAAGCACTTTGCTCCAGAGTGGAATGATCATTATCTTGACCTATTATTTCATCTGGTATAATGCCAGGTCTCATTGTACGGGATTGTGTTTCCTCACTTTCCATCTTATATACCAGGTGTTCAAATGTGGTAGAAAATGCTATGGGCATGATTTCATAAGCCATGTTGTTTATGTATAACATTCCTTTAAAGCCTCCAAAGCAGGTACTGAGAGCAACCAGGGATTCTGGATCCCCCTCCATAAAACCGTGATAATAGCAGTCCTTGTGCACAAAAGGCTGGTCCTCTAAGAGAGCACCCTGGTCTGTATAGGTGAACACTGAGAGGTGTTTGGACAGCAAAAACTTCTTGACCTTCATGTGGACAATGTATCTTTGGCCCCCAAAGCGCAGGCTATAGGAGAGCCAGCCTGGAGACTTTTTGCCTCTGGCACTGCCAGTTACTTTCAAAGGAATGACCACCTCTGGGGGATTATGATTTGGGGGCTGCTCCGCCTGGATGTGTCCACAAAAGGACAGAATCACCCCAAGCCAGTTTAGCAGGAGTAGGAATCTCATGTAAAAGAGAGCTTCATTCAAAGTCATTATACAGCTATAGCTATAAAAACATTGGTCCAAAAAAGTCAGAAATGGGAGCCACAGCTAGTCTACCTCCTTCTTCTGAACTGGTCAGTGTGCAGTGTTCATTGTTAAAGATCTGTCTTGTGGCAGTGATGAATCATCAGAGATGCAGCCCTATAAGTAAAATAAAAAGCAACATTTGGAGGGCAGTGATTACGCAAGTGTGCAATTGGATGAAAGGAAAAGTTATGTGTTAAAAGTGATTAGTGTTTTGTACAGGATGATTCAAGAAACTGCCTGAAATTTGCTGTTAAGTAGTACATTGAAGAAGAGACTAGGCAAACAATAGAAAATGAATATTGGCCATAGATTGATAGTTTTTGAAGGTTAACTGTGGCCAAAATGAAATAATTATACTGCTCTGTAAACATATGAGAATTAGCCTATTTCCCCATAATAAATAGTTTAAAAGTAATGACAAGTAAGCTCACCATATATCTTGTGTTTCTGAGTCACAACTTTGTATGTTAAATTGCCAGAAGTATCAACACCTTTCATTTTCAACTTTGCATGATAACAGCATTGCTAATACTACCAAAAAGTTATATACCAAGTGTGTCTCATGATATTCTTATTTTTATAGTACTTACTATATCCCTCCTTATCATAAAATATGTATTTGTCTTTGCATCTCCCTATCTTCTCTCCTCACTAGTCTTGTTATAATGAAAAATACACAGAGTATCTGGTTCCTTTCACAAATATTAATATGTCTTAATATAATATTATACTTAATATACTTAATTCTGTTTTTAAAGGTTTTTTTTTTCTGTTTACTTATTTGAAAGGTAAAGGGGCAGAGACAGAGGGAGAGACAGAGTAACATAGATGTCTTCCATATGGTGGTTCATTTCCACACTCCATTCTTTTTTTAAAAAAGATTTATTTATTCATTCTAAAGGCAGAGTTACAGAGAGACAGAGGCAGAGGCAGAGGTAGAGATATAGATAAATAGAGAAAGAGGTCTCCCCTCGGCTGGTTCACTCCCTGACTGGCCACAACAGCTGGAGCAGCACCAATCCAAAGCCAGGAGCCTGGAGCTTCTTCTGAGTCTCCCACTTGGGTGCAGGGACCCAAGGACTTGGGACATTTTTTTCTGCTTTCCCAGTCCATAGCAGAGAGCTGGATTGGAAGTGGAGCAGCCAGTCCTCAAACAAGTGCCTGTATGGGATATGGGCACTGCAGGTTGTGGCTTTACCTGCTATGCCACAGCGCTGACTCTCACACTCCATTCTTGTTTTCCACTTGTATGGCAGGGCCCCAAGTACTTGGATCATCTTCTACTGCCTTCCCAGGTGCATAGCAATAAACTCAATTGTAAGTGTAGTAACTGGAAACTGAACTAGCACTCTGACATGGGATACAGGCACTGCAAGGCTTGGTTTTAGCCTGCTATGCCATGCAATAGCCCAAATCCTTTATATAATATATAATGGTATACTTTATGAAGATTTTTTCTTATAATGATGTAGATGTTATTCAAAAACTATTTGCACAGTTGGTTAAATTTTTATAGAAGTGTCTTTTCCAACATCTGTAGTCAGTTTGTGTTCTAGAGCATAGTAAAGATGCAGTTTCTCTTATCTTTCACTATAATACAGTTTAATACCCTGGAAGCAAGTCAATGAGCAATGACAAGAAGATAGTGAAAGTTGGATAGGAAAGGCAGATTGAAAATTGATTACCAGACTGTAAGAATAAGGGTTAATTCTTTGAGTTTTCTTTTAATGTCTCAGATATGTATCAAATTGAATGTTGGACAGATTTTTAAACCAGAACCTCCAACAGAAATAGACAAAAACAAACTGAAGGAAAGTTTTGACTTGATGTCCAAATGACAGAGAATGAAAAAATTCAACAAATATCTGGCTGTCACTGCCGCTCAATAGGCTAATCCTCGGCCTTGTGGAGCTGGCACACCAGGTTCTAGTCCCAGTCGGGGCGCCGGATTCTGTCCTGGTTGCCCCTCTTCCAGGCCAGCTCTCTGCTGTGGCCAGAGAGTGCAGTGGAGGATGGCCCAAGTACTTGGGCCCTGCACCCCATGGGAGAGCAGGAAAAGCACCTGGCTCCTGCCATCAGATCAGTGCGGTGTGCTGGCTGCAGCGCGCTGGCCGCGGCGGCCATTGGAGGGTGAACCAACGGCAAAAGGAAGACCTTTCTCTCTGTCTCTCTGTCTCTCTCACTGTCTACTCTGCCTGTCAAAAAAAAAAAATCAACAAATATGCAGTGAGGTGAGCCAGCATTTTCTCCAGAGTCAGTACATGGGTGTATTGATTCACCTAGAGTGACAGTATCAGATATTTGAAAGGTCCAGCTAAAATACATTCTACATACTGTGCACTGTAAGCTATTCATTCTGCCCACATTGCAACACCGTTAACACTGATAGGCAATTCTAACTTTCATTCAGTACCAAGTAGCTAGCTAACTGAACTGTCTTCAAAGGCAGCAGTGAAACCCTCACTAACTGACTCAAATCTGCACTGTAATTACACAGTGAAATGGAGCTGAATTAGTCAAGATGTGTCATCCATCTCTCAATCCTTCTCTAAATGACATGGGAAGACTTAAACCCAGCGGCTTCTGCTGGTCCCATCATCAGGCAAGAAAGTGGCCCAATGATATAATGTGAAAGAGGAAAGGCCTTTTACCCAAAAGATACCAACAATTAAGACATAGCCCCTTAAGAATCAATAGAACAAAACAAATCAGAAAAATATTGAAAAGACTTAAAATCATTTTTAAGGAAATCAGTTCAAAAAGCTGGGAGGAACATACACACTAAACATACGGAAAATATTTGAGAAAATCAGCAGTTTCCTACAGAGCAATGGTGGGAAGAGAGCAGACTAGGGAGTCCTGCACCCTCCTATTCCACAAACCACATTGATTCAACAATAATTTTGTGGACAGATTCCCTGTGTGACAAATGCTGAAGCTAATTGAAAGGCTCCTGCACACTAGGAAAATGCAAATTTAGAATCAACAATTTTTTTAGGGAGATTCAGGACACTTTCCAAGTGGATTATTTGCCCTACTGTAATGCCATTATTCAGGATAAAATCTTCAGCCTTCTAGGTTGACCAAGCATTGGAATTGTTTGATTTGTGTTTAGTCTCTAAACCTTCTGAGGGAGACGTTGTGAAGGACTCGTTTCTCTTTTGGCAGTCTTGGAGCTCTGCATATTCTCCCACAGTCTAGACACCCACTGAGAAAAGAGATGGTGACTTGAGATGTTAGATGGCATAGATAGTCTTCCTGCTCAGCATAGAGTAAGCTGCTGTGAAATCCCACCAAAGACAAGAATTTTGTGTATGTCAGGTACCATAACATCTCCAGGCATGCTCAAAGAACTGTCATCTGTCTACCTAGTTTTTGAGTGCCGACAGGCACAGCACAGTTGAGCCATCTCTGGGAGAATGGTTGCAGGACTTAGACTATTAGACATCCTAGATATTCTCTACTTCATTGCACAGAGAAGACAGAGCAAAAAGTTCCAGTTCTGAGCTTTCTCCTAGGTACAGAAAAAGTTGATAGTTATATGAGCAACTTTTCCAGGACTCACAAAGAACTGGCTTCTGACTAGCAAATATTGGACTTCTGAGTATGTCTATCAGAATCTATTTTCTGTGGGAGATTAATCAAAGGAGAAAAAAAATAAGAAAACAGAGACAATTCAAGATACTTATGTGATACCTTCAAAGACCAATTAATGCATTATAGAAGCATCTTGATTTAAATGAAAATATAAATAGAACATAAAATTTTTTTGGTTATAGTCAAAGCAGCATCAAGATAGACATGTAGAGATAATAAATACCTACCTTACAAAGAAGAAACATCTCCAAAAACAACTTATGCTTAGGATTTAGCAAAAGAAAAACAAAGGAAGCCCAAAGACAGAAGGAAGAAAACAATAATTAAAGAGGGTGTAAATGAAGTAGAAAATTTTAAAAAGGAGCTAAATCAATGTATGAAGCTTTACATTAAGAAAAGTGTAGATGAAATGAAAACAAGATTGAGAGGAGACACTTCTGCCAATGCCACAGACACAAGAAGTGTCACTAGAGAATAGTATGACAGCAATTTTCATGGAACATTTTGGCTACAACCAAGATTTTAATGCTATCATATCTTGCCTATTTTTTTCTTATAACGTTTGTGTTAGTTCTTCATAGTCTATTTGTTGTCATCTTAGAGTTCAACATTTCTGAATATTGCACTGGCTATTGTGGCTAAAAAGAAATTATTGGAATGACTGTATTCTTTCCTGCAAGTTCCTTTCCAGCTTCTAGAAGCTACTCTCATTTTATAGATCATAACCCCATTCCTCCATTATCAAGGGCTCTAACAGACAGCAGATGGAATCTTTCTATCACTTCATTCTCTGTCTGCCTCTTTTTCTTCCTTCTTTAACACAGAAGGATCTTTGTCATTACATTGTTTTAATCTGGATAAACAGGGTTATCTCCCTATGTTAAATTCAGCTGACTAGTAAATTTGATTGGATCGCAATTTTAACTTCCCTTTCTCAGGTATCATATTTGCAGGTTTTGGGGGTCAGAACAAGAACATTTTTGGAGCACAGTTATTCTACTTACTGCACTCTTTTTCTCATAAATCACCATATTATATAGGAAACATAGCTTCTGCCAAAGCACTCTAAGTTGGAAACACACTGCTCCTGAAAACAGAGTGTGACCACAGAATGTGGGAACACAGCTCCTGCCAACACATTCTCAGTTGGGAACACATTTCTTCTGAACATAGATTGTGGCCACAGAAACTGATTAGAGGTAATAATTGACCTATTATCAAGAAGAGCACCGAAGAAGATGATCCAAGTTCTTGGGCCACTGCACCTGCTTGGGAGACCTGGAGAAAGCTCCTGGATCCTGGCTTTGGATCAGCACAGCTCTGGCCGTTGTGGTGATTTGGGGAGTGAACCAACAGACGCAAGACTCTCTCTCTCTCTCTCTCTCTCTGCCTTTGTAACTCTGCCTTTCAAAAAATAAATAAATCTTAAAAAAA